GATAATCTAAGGAGACTTCAGATACATGCAAGGGTGTCTCTTTTCAGTTGTATTTTTAATTGATTGGTAGGTTCACAGTATTTATAGTATTTATACACAAACAGGTGATAAGACACCTATGGTGGCTGGAGTCTAGATGATGACCTTCTAAATGAAGTCCTGATCTTTCTGTTTAAGAACACTTAATAACATTTTCACTTAAGTTTGTCAGTTTGTTTACACATTTTTTTTGTTTTCTTATCCTCAAAAAAGAGCTTAAAAGGCCTTAAAAATATTAGTTTGGAATCTTAACATGTTTTGAAAACACAAATATGTTTAATTTGCAGCCAATTGTAGCAAATTACATTTCTCAAACTGGGTAAGTGGAAACTAATTTCTGAGATTTGTAAACACTCTGCAAATAATTGCTTAATCTTATCTTTGCGCAAACCTATACTCTTCTGTAGAGCTTCTTATACCTAGAATATCAGATGTGTATTGGGCAAGTTTAAATAATCTCCTTACCTCCCTTTAACAGGAATACTCTGTAAGCTTAGACATAGCCCACTGTTGTCCACAAAGCACAGAGTACAAAGTAAAAAAATATTCAGTGTGATACAATCCTTTCTGATTATCATATATCCATTCTCATTCTCAATCCCAAAATAATTATACTTTTTATGTCAAAAGCTTTACAGCTTTACCACCTCAAGCAATATTTTACAGCTGTCAAGAATGATTTATGCAATAATGACTTAAACTGCAAAATGGAGTCTCAAAGGAAGAGTTGTCAAACATTTTTATCACAAATAACTTTATTAAAATAAGAATTGATATTCTGTATAAACAATATCTTACCTTCAACTATAATACAGATCATATATGATTTGTGCAAATGAAGTAGTGATATAGTGAGGAATACACTACACCGCTACTTTGGTATCAGAGTATAATTTTTTAATTAAGCAGATGTTAATGCCTAATGGGCAAGACTTAAAAAAAAAAAATGTTTCAAAATAACAGTTCTTATGATTTGTCTTTATTTATCTATTGTTCTTTCTAAAAAGGGATATTTACATTAAAATATATTTACTGACTCTTTAATCCCATGAGTAGATCCAGTGATTTTTGTGGAACTTGTTCAATAAGAATCTATAAATTCTTACCCTTAGTTTTGGCTTCTTTCTGTTCCCATTAACTATTTTTCTCAGTAGTTATTAATTCTTTTGGTAACTATGTAATCGCCTACTGTGGCACTACTTAAACAGCACAGAGGGCTAGAACTTTGCCTGGATTGTGTAAATACTCTTCTAAAAGGAAAAAAGAGTGAGTAGAAATTAAAACCAAATGTGGGCTATATTAACAATCTTATTCTGATACAAATACTGCAAGAGGAGCTAGTAAGGCTTTTAGCCACAAATGTGGAAAACTTCTCTGAAGATAGGGCACTGGTGTGGCTGGGACAGGACGTGCTGGGTGCGGAAGTAATGCTGGCATCTCACCTCCATGCCATCTAAACAATTACAGAAAGCTATCACAAGTATTTTCCCCCTCTCCTCTGCACCCTCCCCACACTGCACAGTGGAAAGCAAAATGTGATGGGTCTAGGTAACATATTTATAAAAGCATGATACATCCAATTTGTGTTCTCTTTTAATGACTGTATCTTCTGTCTGTCATGTTTAAGGCAGTGTAGATTCAAGCAACTGCCATTTTCTGAAAATTAACCTGATACAAAATTTTTCCCATCCTCTGTCCCTTTTTCTTCAAGTGTATGATCTGGCCTGAAGATTAAAGCAGTGAACAAACAGCAGCATTCAGTCTTGCATCATCAAATTGTTTAAAACTCAAAATCTTCCACTTGCCTTCACCTTGAAAAGTGGACTATAGACTAGTAGAGAACATCAGAATCCTAATTCCCAGTGTGTATGAAATACTATTTTTCTAGTTCAAGAATTTCCTTTTAAGTTGAACTTTAAAGCTGTGACATTTTCGAACTATGAGAGGTGGTATTTAGAATTAAAAAGAAAAAGCATTAGTTATAGAGTGATTCCCTTTCTGATATCTGCATTGCTGGACTTTTGATGACAGATTAGCTTTATAAGTGAGGGGATATATGATCCCACTGACATTTGCTTTACTTTGAAATATTAAAATAATTTTTAATATAATCAGTGGCTTATGTAGAGTAAATGATAGTGTGATGTGGAATAAGGTTTTATTTGCAATTCACTGGGCATTTATTTAGGACTGTGTAATATGGTCTTCAGAAACTCCTGTCGGTGGAACCTCAAGTGATTCGCACCTTCCTGATCTGTCTTCCTCCTCTGTATGCTTAGTATTATGTTAAATATTATACAAAGGGTGGCTATGAAATATCATGTCAAACCAAACTTTCAAGCAGTGGGTAGTTCATTGGAGTAACTTGGGTTACTCACATGGAGAAAGTTACATTTCTAACTGCACTGGTATTGACCTCTTAAAATATTGTCATACTCACAGCACACAGTACAAAATAAGCTGCTAACCAGGCACTAAACTCTCAGATTTTTAGAAAATTCTTTAAATTAATTTTGCTACAGAACCTGGAGGAAGTCCTTGTTAGGTATCGTCATTCTGTATATTGTTATAACATACAGAGTATATACTCTATATATACTATATACTTGCAATATATACTCTATATACTGCAAAAACAAATTTGCAAATTTGAAAAAGTGAAGTAAGCGAAGAAGGGAAGATGAAAAGTGAAGTATATATTTTCAGTAATTTAGAATAACTATAGAATATTTTTACTGACATTTATTATATCTATCATATAGGTCGTTTCAATTTCATGATACCATATAAACTTCAGAACTTTTTATCACATTTTGTAAAGAAACTGAACATTATGTGGAATGAAACAAAAAAGTCTATATATACAAATGATCAAGCTGTCAGACATTTATGCATTTGAGTGTCAGACCTATCTTGTATTTTGTCGGTTTTTGCGTGTAAGCAGTGACTTGATATTTTAAATGATATTTAAAATTCAAAATAATTCACCTGTATTTGTTTAAATTTAGCAGTGCACATAGTGCACATGGTAAGTCCTGTTCATATTTTGACTAGTAAAATTTTGGAAGAATTCAACTGAAATTTGTCTAGAACTGTTGCCTGTAGCTTTTGATATTCCTTAACCTTCAAACTTATGGTCTAGTAACTTAAAGAAACTATTCACAGAAATGAAGTTGCTGAGAACCCTTATGTATAAGATTGCTTACACTGAATAATCCATAACTGTCATTTATAATGTGCTTCAAAATTCAAAACTATTTACAAAAGATATTGCAATTTTTACGGACGGTTTTACTTTAGTTTGCCTCAAACAGATTATGGTGTGTTGCATGATGCCAGAATTCAGCATTTTAGAAAAATATATATTTGTGGTAATTGACAGATAAGCAGTATTTTAGTTAAGCACCTTTCCCTCCCTCCTAATATCTTGGAGACTGAAGCACTTTTAAACAACCAGATCTCAGAATAGTGCTTCAGGCTGGTGACTATGGAAGTCAGCAATGACATTCTCCTTTAGCAATATTACTTTTAACACACACCAAGTTAACACAAACACAGGCTAGATGTGTAAAGGACACACAGTGTCAGGTCTCCTGAGAAATCTATGTTCAAGGCACAGCTACAACAACAAACCTTGACCAAAATCGGCTCCAAACCACTGAACCAGATCTAAGAATAAAGGACTCTACTGAGAATGTGCTAAGAATATGCTTAAATATTGGTAGCGTGGGTAGAATGGTTGGCCTGAGTCCTATCTGAATTATACCAGCCTAAGCTAAAAATAATATTAGTTAAGTCTCTCCGAAATAACAACAGAATTATTGAGAACAGGGTTTAACTCTGTGACTTTAAAATGTGAGAGCATCCACTGCATGTGATTCTAAAATTGATGCAAACAACACACTGGCACTTCTCCAGAACTAATTTAAGCTCAGCATTTGAATATGAATTTCCTTTTCCTTCTCCCAAGAGTGTACACAGCAGAGACAGAATAAGGTACACCGCACTTATCTGTTACTCAGATTTGTTTGAAAGGCAGATATTTCTGTAAATAACCCTGGGCAATTAGAAAAAAAAAATAGCAAAAAACTCTACATATAACTATTAGGCATCATAATTAGTTTTCATGCATATGCACTTTTTAATCTGCAACTACAGTTGTTTATTCATTTTATGCTCTTAACAGGAGAAAAGCATCAGCATATAGCAGGTTTAGCTATTCTTCCTTATATCAGCAGTAGCATCGACAGATCTATATTGCATCTTCACTGAATAACAGGGAAACTCTTTGTAGCTTAGCCATCCCAAAACTTTTACTCTCACAACGTAATTCTAGGACAACTTCTGTGATTCAGCTGTAGGTACTCCAACTTCACAATGTCTCATCTCTGAAAAACATTTGTCCCTTTCTTTATAAGTTATTGCTTTCTTCATGATAGGCCATTTTTTGCTACTTTTAACCTTGTTGTACTTTTTCCAGTAAAATACTGCATTTAAATCAAGGTACGATTCCAATTGTGTGCGGCACGCAGAGTTAAGCTCCCTGTAACTGATACACCATTCCTCTGTCCTGTGAGATGAAACAGTTCATAAAAATTAACATTCATAGGGTGTCCCCTCTATGCCTGTGTTATCTGTTCATTGTTGTAGGGCTGTTAACTTTAGGAGATCTACATCTGCTTTAAACCAACCAAGAGGATAATTTCTGTTCAACAGTTTCAAACACAGTGCTAGCTTCACTCAGCTGTTAGAGTCAGCGTACAGGGATATACTCTACACACCCGCTACTTTCAGGGCAGATTCCCTTTCTGGTATACAAAATGTACTTCACTGGACTTCTTCAGACAAATTGCAACACTACTCCAGCAAAGGGTCTGGCCAGCAGATCATACACACTTATTTTACCAATCAATGGATAACCAAACACACAAAAAGTCTTGAAAATAAAAAGCAGACTTTACCATCTTTGTGATAATAGGTGACTTCTACTTTCCTCTCCTCTGACCCGAGCAGTGCTTGAGCAATTTGGGCAATGTGATGTCTTTTGGTCTCTGGCCCATGAAGAAAATCACAGGTGCAAGGTTTCTGCATGACATCTGGCCTGGAGAACCCAGTCATCTCACAGAACCCATCATTGCAGTAGATGATAGCACAATTCTGCACTCTAGCATTAGCGATGATGAATTTTTTATCTGCAATAAAAGGAAAGTGAAGCATTTTTAGTAGTCTTTCCACATTTCATAAAGTGTCAATTGCATGGACGGATGCTAAACAGCTGTTCTTTTCACTGGGATGCCTGAAATGCAGAGATTTTCAGTCATTTAATGTAGCTAATGTGATCCATAGCTTTTAAAGAAACTTCATTAAATTTAGAATACATTATGGATTAAGATAGTTGTCTTTTAAGGAAATAAAATCAGATTATGAAAGTCTTTCCAAACTCCTTTTGACTTCAAAATTTTGTCTTCTTTAGCTTCACTGAAACCCAGACGATGAGCTCCATCCTGTCAGCCATAACTCCAGGGTAGTCCTTGAAAAGTTAGTAGTTTCTTTTTGGGGGAAGTGGGGCCTCGGAAAGGGGGCTCTACTCAAGTGAAGGGCTTCTTGGGATAAGGTCCAACCAGCTCAGTCTACTCTGTAGGGATTTTCATTGAGGTGAATTACAGCAAGTTCATAGTCAGTATTTTAACAAAACTGTCTAGAAAAGAACATGATTTTTTTTTTCCTCTGTGATTGTTTTAGAAGTTATATTTATAAAATAAAATATTCCTTAGTAAAAACAAAAAGGAGTATGAAGGTATGTGAAAACCAAAGATTGTGATGTTGGAAACATTTTGCACGGTCTGCTGAAGTTCTGTGCCTCAGTCCATCATCCTTTCCCAAACCCTCACCTGACAGAAAGGTTCAAATGTTTTCAATGGTTATTTCATTTGTTTCTGTTTACCGCTATAACACACTATTCCTATTGTAGTTATAAATACATAGCTTTGATACATTTACTGTTTATAACGTTAATATCTGTTTAATCACACTAGTAGGTCCCTTGCTTTAGAAAAGACTTTTTACGTGGCACCAAGTTAGCAGTTCAAGTCTTGAAAATTTTACAGATATTCTGTCTTTGATCACAGCAAAATATTTGGAGAGAAAAATATAGATTTCATTCTTGCTTTGTCTAGTGTCTTTCAATCATGCTGAATTTTCACTATCACTTGCCTAGTTAGGTAGCGCTTTATTCTCTTCAAAATATATACACTTTACTGCATAAAAACTTTACTTAAGTAGCAACACTGACTTAGCATTTAGATAATCTACATCATCATTTTTTTTCCTCAAATAATATAAATATTAAATTGGTAACGGGGGTTTGAGTATAATAAAGTATAGAAACTGGAGTTAGCTGTAAGGGTTTGCACCAGACTGATACTAAAATATGCTAAATATTTAAATAAATGTACATATATCAAAACTACTGTTTCTAAATGAAATTCATTTTAAGCATCAAGTGTTCTTACTGTTAACAGTAAACCAGAGTTCCGGCCAGGAAAAACACTTCAGCTTCAGCCTCCTCGACAGGTAGAAAACTGCTGCATTGGAAAAGATCTCACAGACTCTCCCTGAGGATGCATTTGCACTGGTTTGATAGATATTTTAAGCTTGCATAAACAAAGCAGAAATATTTGACAGCTATATTAAAATGCAGTCACGACAACAAGGTAAGAGAGTATTTTCCCTTTAATAACTCCTCTGCATATTATCTGTTTCCTCTAAATCAAAGTCTGACTGTTATGCTTTATTTTGCAAAGGCAGTGTTAATTAATAACAACAACAACAATGAATCTAGCTGATTTTTTTAAACATTGCACAGGCAGCAATATTGTACACTCTGCTTTCAGAGCCACCTCACCAGTTCAGAAGAAGGTAAGAGATACAACTTCTATAGCTATACAACATGGACACAGTCACAGATAAAAACTATTCCTTGAAATGGGGGGGGGAAAAAGCCCAATAATTAAAATCTGTAATCTGTATTCTAGATCAAGACCAATGTTACTCCTGTCAGGGATCCCCTCCTTACCTCTGGGGTTTTCTTTCCAAGCTACAAACTTAAAATAGTCTGGAGCTGCTGTCCATTTAGTCACAAGCAGAATCGAACTACTGTAGCAAAACAGATAGAAAGAGAGAACTTACTTTGCCCTTCAAATTTTCGTATGATTGTACCCAAAAACGTATTTTGTGGTGCCACATGACCTCTGCGAACAGGCATGTTTGTACAGGTCTTCGGTTTTCTGTGCACAATGACTTCTCCAAGGATCTCCTACACGGCTCCAGCCCAAAGCACCGAGCCAGCTACCCTTTGTGACAAATCATCGTCCTCTGGAGCTCGGAAATCTCTTCCCATTAGCACCACTTCTAGATACACGCTTTTCCTATTGGAGTCAGATCCATCCCTCAGTTTCTTTCTTTTTCTTTCTTTCTTTCCTTGCTTTCTTTTCTATTTTTTTCCCCGGAGGAGCTCGGACGCTATTGTCTGGGGCGGGTAGGGGTGGGGTAAGCAGAAGGAGCTGGGGGGGGGAAGATTACAAGGGTAATCGATCTCTAGCACCAAACATCGCCAATTTTCCAAAGCAAATGGCTGTGACCCGGCAGTTTCCGACGCTGTAGTGATGGTTAGAGGGCTGGAAGACTAATGTTGCTCCGCTGCCAGAGGGAGTGACGTTTCCCCGCTCCGGGCTTCACCACGGCGCGCAGCA